CATTGTTAATATATGGATACATTGGTCTCCTCAGTTTCTGCTATGTTACACTCATTTGCTGCCTCCTTCCTACATTTGAAGTTTCTGTTTTAGGTTCCCCTGCTGCTGTTTTGTGTATACTTGTTTTGCATTTAGTTGTATTTGCCTTCAGCAATTAGCTTTTAGTAGTTTAACTTTTGTCTTGCTTTGTATTTTGCCCCTGTTAACATAGTAAAAAAATCAGCGAGCAACCTTAGCTGCTGGCTGGCTAAGTATATTGATTCACAAATCGGTTCGAGACAATCCTACTTTAAGTTAATGTTGAGCATGGCCAAAGTAAATGGGCAAAGCAGGTTCAGTCAACATACACCAACCTACCTTTTCCTATATTCTATTTTCAGGCAATGATTACAGGTAAACTAAAAGCATGTTTTCATTTGTAGACAGACAGAAGCATGTCGTGAATGACTGCCAAAGCATGCAGGATCGATCGGAAAAAAGTGATATAATAAATGATATTGGCTGCTTGAATATGAACACCTGATTGCAGGGACTGTATGAGGATAGTCTTATTTTAAAAAAGACAAAAAGGAGAAGACAATTTAATACTTTGCTCACCCTAAATGAATAATGAAAATGCATTTGCTTCACTACCTCCATTGCTCATGCACCTATGCTTGTTTATAGGTTTAAATCACACAGTTGCATGTTGTTACATAAGACATACCTACAGTTAAACTTGCGTGAGGCGATATAAAAAGCTCAATCAAAGACATTTTTTTCACTAGCAGGAGTTTATATTGTCACTTTTGACTGAGAAATGTGAAAACACTACAGAGTCAATTCTGTTTCAGAGATTTTTTCATGAGCCTATTTTCTTGGTTCCGACAATCAGTACAACACACAAAAACACTTGCTGTATGCAAACTGTACAGCACACACCTTCATCAACACACACATGCTCAGAACATATTCCATGTGGGAAATTCATGGTATATATTGTCATATGGGACCTATGTGTTCAAGCCCATTAAAATGGTAAACACAGACCCACTGCAGAGATCAAGGGAACACATAATGCAGTAATATAATAAGGCAAAACCCCACAGAGACACAGAGCACATGAACTCAACACTTCCCCACAATGAAAAGCCTCGACAGTGGTCATTAATCTGTGACGCCAGAGGCCTGCATATTAGTGTTTTGACTGTGCTATTGTGCTTTATTTGGAGGGGACATAAATGCTTCTTTTTTATAGGGTTCCTTGAGAATTTTATTTTGGACCAGTAAATCATTGTTTTTTCAGTGCAGCTCGGGGATTGTCTCTGAGGCAATAGAGAAAAAGAATAACAACATCTATCCGTTATCAGAGTCTGACCTACTCTCTTGGCTTCAGGCAAATGAACGGCAGAGTGACAGCTATTGTGCCGTAGCTGTGGCCTTTTACCGGCAAGCAATAATACATTGTTTTGTGAAAATAGAGCAGTGCTGCTACCTTATCCTGTAAGGTTAAGACGCTAGAATTAACGTAAAGTTGATATGAACCAAATAAGCCACCACTATTTTTCAGTCTTTATCTGGATAGTGGCATTTCTTGAAAGTGCTTACACATGGGGAAAAGCCTCGATATGATGACTACAGCACACTAACAATAACATACCCTGGACATTTTTTAAATGCAATTTAATGTGTGTTTGTTATTTAACTGACAACAATGATACTGACCAGCTCCACTGATTGAGTAGTTCTCTCGGCCCTGTGGGGAATTAAAGCTGTTTTTGCTGATTTTTGATGAAGTGCAGACTTCCAGGGTCCACCTGTTTACTGCAGCACTGTGTGTGTGTGTGTGTGTGTGTGTGTGTGTGTGTGTGTGTGTGTGTGTGTGTGTGCGTGCGTGCGTGTGTGTGTGCGTGCGTGCGTGTGTGTGCGTGCGTGCTGTGTGTGTGTGTGTGTGTGTGTGTGTGTGTGTGTGTGTGTGTGTGTGTGTGTGTGTGTGTGTGTGTGTGTGTGTTCCTGGCTTTATATTGTTTGGAGTATGCATTGCTGACAAGAGGGTTTTTTCTTTTTTAACTCGGGTTACAAAAAACGATTTTAATGCATAAAGACGTTTTTTGCAGCAGTGGTTGATGTTTAAATGATCTATTGTGTAACTGTTCTTTTTTCTAAAAACAGTCAAACTCCATTAATCCTAAACAAATTCTGCATTATTCTCTGAAATGTCCATAAAGACTGTTGTCCTCTTATATACATATTCTTTGCTTCGAAGCCTCCTAATCACTCATCTAAATCCTTAAGGGCAAATACAGAAGTCTCAGAAGAGCGCTGCTGGTTGTGCACAGCTAGAAATCATTAAAAAATGTCAATAATGATTCGATCCATTACAGCAGTCCAACGCTTTGCCATCCAATTACAAAGGTGATTGGGTCACATTAAAGAGCGGAGCCATGATTGTAGTTGAGTATCACATAAATCAATACCTGAACTTAATACAGTACAGCTAGTTTGCATAACGGCATGATTAAGTGCCTCATATCTTAGAATTTCATTATCTTGCCGAGCTTGCCACTGACATACATTACAGAACATCCTGTGCCATAATGAGGCAAAACATGCGCTTTCCAGTAATCTGCTACATTTAAGTGTGATGTCACATAGCGGTAGTCTCACAGGGGAATAAAAACACTCAGCACATCCATAGAGTCCAGTGTCCAGGCGCTGGCAAAGCAGGTGTTATGGATTGTCTGTGCTCTGGGAACAAGTTGCTGACCCCTTTCCCTGATCCCTTTCCTGTTTGGCATTATGTGTGCAGCCGAGTCCAGGGGAGATAGAGTCGCTTGGTTCCAGCTACTATGGCATGTTTTTCTCTAATATCTCCATTCCCCTTTTTCTGTTCCAGTCAAGTCATGTTCCAGGTGGGGTGACAGAGCACAGCGCGCAACTACAGGCGGTCCAGGAAATTTGTGTCCTCTGTCCAAAAAACATGTTTTGACCGTCTGTGCCACATCTGGAGGGATATTTACTCCTAAAGCCATTCTTTCCTGCAGCCGCATGACACAATACGCTTGACAGGTTCTATTTGCACACCCTGCAATAGCAAAACATATTGTGCACAAATGAAACCCTAAAAAAAAAGGCAATTGTGAGTAGTATACTCTTGAGAGGGGAAATTTGGCACTGGTAAAAGAGCAGAGTGGAGCTATATTTAGTCATCGAAAAAACAAAAGGTTACTTTACAGCAGCTATGAATGTGCTACTACTGACACTTTAAACAATGGTCTTGGCTTCAACACTCCATAATAGTTATGACAGTATCTCATTGTAACGAGGGGAAACAACTGAGTCACAGTGATTTAATTGTTTTGGTGGAGTTATAGGATATTGCATGCATTACTCAGCATCTAAACAAATAAGCATCTTAATTACTGCAGCAAACATAATGGGTGCCTCTTCCACAGAAATTATTACATTTGAATACTCCATTTAGTGACATATTTAATAATTTAGGAACTATATCACCACATAAAGGAGATGACCCTCATGCAAGTGCAAAGATAACATGAGGTGATTATGACATGAGCGCTCTCTAACAACCTCTTGGAGTGTACACCTGCAGCAGAGCCTAATCCTTCCTGCACCATACCATCTGGAATGGGATTTTGCTGTGTGTGTAACGTATGGGTCTGTGTGCCGCTGCAGCAGTCAGGACTGGAGCCCCGCCGTGATACAGCACAGCTGATCCTATTGTGGTGCTTCTCCAATCTATCACTATCCATTACAACTCTGCTGCAAAATTCCCAGAAGTCTGCACCACATTGTCTGACCTTCAATGTGTGGTGAAAAATCAAAGACCCCAAGTGGCCGTACTCACAGCCTCCCCCCGAGTTGCTCAAGGTGCCTCCGTCCTTGAAAGCAACACAACGAGACTAAAGCTTGTCAAAGTTTGTCTGTTCCTCGAACCATCAGGCTGTGCACAGCACCAGTCAATCAGCTCCGCTAGAGGCTACCTAAGGGGTTAACGTCGGCAACCTTTCCCATCTGTTGCTAAGGAAGTGTTGCCTGTTGTGCAGGAAACAGGGAGAGCGGCTTCCTGTTATGAAGAGAGGTTTTTTAAAGGCTTGCATTCATTCAATCGAGCAACAGATGCAGGGCCAGGAAGCTTGCCCAATAGCAAAAAGCTTTGGTGTCCTGCACAAACTGTATTTGGAAACTGCTTTTAGGAACCTTTCTATGCACTGTACTGCTTCAGGAAATAATAGATGGGCAAAACATGCTGGACAAAACACAGAAAGGAATCTATGGTTGTTTTTATATAACGTGTAATCCTCCCTGTTCCAGTCATTCAAAGCAAGTGTGTCATGATTGACACAGCGTGATTGCATGCATCACTTACAGACGAGTCACCATGCTGTTTAAAGTCATTGTGTTTGATTTTTTTCCTCAGTAGTGTGAACAGTAGAGCCTTTATCTGCTTTGGCTGTGTCCGCAAAGCCAATGCTGTCGCCATCATTCTCTAATTTATCTCCCTCTTTTTCATTTTCCTCCTCAGTTTTACCTCATTTTACTTAAAGTTGTAATTGTTGTTAATAACCTTATCCTCACAGTTCACCAGCTCACAATAAAGGTGTGGATTATAACTTTCCAACTGCTGTCAGAAGCTACCAGACACCAAACCATGTGCAGACGTGATAAAAACTAAAATATTTGTACAAAATAGTTATCTGCAGATTTAAAGCTGCCCATCACCACAATGAAACAATGGCTTAAAGTCCAAATCTCTTTTACTGAGTGGATTTGGTCTCACTCTAGTCCACCGTGCTGCTTCTGCAAAACTGCACATTTACCAACCTCTGGAGCAGTATGTTGATACAACTAAAATATCTAATGTAAATCAAAACAGCGCAAATGCAGTGGTCTCTGTATGTTATGAGTGGGTTTCGTTGCAGTGCTGTAGGCTGGTCCTGCCTCAGGAAGCGCCAAGAAGCACCTCCCGTTTCCACACAAGAGCGCACCAGTTTACTGTAGCATCAGCACTGGAGATGCACGCCGGCTGGAAGCTCAAGCTGCCAACACAAGTAGAAGAAACTGGAGAAAACCGAGACGGCGATGTTCCGCAACTCTTCTTCTACATCTTGATTTTCCCGCAATGTGTTTGTATTTGGATTAAGTTTCCACGTCATTTCGAGTGGCGCGCTGGCTGTGGGGAAACATGAGGATAACTGTCGGTTCCCGTGGATGATGATGCCCCACGATGAATGCAGGTTGGTTGTTAATCTTTTTATGATCATGTCACGAAAACAAACTTTAAAGGTTTTTACAGCAAATAAACTGAGACTGTGTGTATGTGTGCTGACGTGCCTGTTTGTGTTGTTATTTAATGTAATTGGATGATTCTAACTGATAACATATTTCATCTGTTTATTATCCATTCATGTTACCTATTGAATTGCAATGCAACTTGATGCAACCTTTTGTGGCGCTTTAAATAGTTATTCTATAGGTACAATAAAATATAACCTGAGATATTGATTCATCATACTTCTGCTGGATTTTCTTATTGGATTTATGCTTGCAGCTTTCCCATTACAATGCCAGAAAACAAACTTTAAAGGTTTTTACAGCAAATAAACAGTGAGAGTCAGATGTGCGCTGACGTCCCTTATGTTAGTATACTGTAATTGGATGATTCTAACTGATAACATATTCCATATGTGGAATATCCACTAATTTGACATACAAATTGATATGCAATGCAACTTGATGCAGCCTTTTGTGGCGCTTTAAATGAGTTATTCTGGTACAATTAAATATAACATGAGATATTGATTTATCACACATCTGCTGGAATTTCTTATTGAAATTATGCTTCCAGTTTTCCCATTACAATGCAAGGAGGAATTACACATGGTGTTTAAATCCATAAGCTTTGGATAAAGTTGCTTTCATTCAGGAATCCCCACTGGAAGAAAAAAAATCTGTTCCAGGATTAGTATTACGATTATAATTCATGTTTGTTAAAGTAGACAGCCTTCGCCCTAGAAGGTCATCTGTCTTTAAAATTCACTGTCCTGTGAATTCATTGAATCAAGGAAGCTGAAAATAGTATACATTGTATGTGATTTGTGTCAAATTAATTCAGTTTTTTTTAAATGATATTCCATTTAGTTCTTTAGCCATGTCTCTTCAGGTTTTAGGCTGTTCAGGTGCTTAATGGGTGACATGTCATGCTGAGGACACAGTCTCAAATCACATCCTGTGAGTTTGGTACAAATAAAGTCCCAGTTGTCTATCTCTTCCTTTGTTTTTCAAACATTTGTTTTAATTGAATTCTTGTTGTATAATTCATATCCTGTTGTTTGCAGTTGGGTGCTTTGTCAGACAGCAACCTCTGTTTTCTCTACCAGAGTTGTATTGTTCTTTGACGCACTCAAAGGACCTTTTCTGCAACAAAAAAGTGTGTGTGTGTGTGTGTGTGTGTGTGTGTGTGTGTGTGTGTGTGTGTGTGTGGTGTGTGTGTGTGTGTGTGTGTGTGTGTGTGTGTGTGTGTGTGTGTGTGTGTGTGTGTGTGTGTGTGTGTGTGTGTGTGTGTGTGTGTGTGTGTGTGAGCGGGTTTCATGAGAATCGAGGGAAGAATGACGAGAAGGAAGTCCATTTGTGTTGTGAAAATCTGTACTCCTAGAGAGGTTCATGGAGGAGTGATGCGGGGCCATGGTGTTAATGTCCCATGGACATCCTGTGTGGAGTCTGAGGAGGCACTGCTGGAGCGGCTTGATGAACCTGCAAATCTTAAAAGAAAGCATAGGGACATTAATAGAGAAACTAATATAAGGGCAGAAAGCAATACAGGGCAATGAGGGGTTTCTGCAGAAATTAATATTATACTTAGAGTAAGAGAAACACTGACAGAGAAAACACCCAGAGATAGCCAAAGTGCACACAGGGTTTAATAGGATGTGCGTCAGGGCAGGTACAAAATAACAGGAAGAGACTAGGGGTGTACACACTTTGTTAAGTACGGGTGTGCTTTATTACAAATAAAAATGTCGTAACCAGTGCTATGGTAGTTTCGAACACACTAAAAGTCTAAACTCAAAAGCAAGACAGAGATCAAATAAAAAACGCTCTGATTACAGATCTGCGTTCCAAAATTATATTTTTCAATACAGTTTAGACATTTTTAGAGCAAAGACAAAATCACCGTTATAGTTTTTGACGACTATTAGCCAACAAATTGGAATCTGCTATAAGCGTCCAACCTGCATGTGTCATTTCCCAGACAGGGACATGTTATTGTTCCTTCTCTAAGTACCCTGTGGCTCTGTTGTTTTTCCTGCTGATAATGTCCCCTGCAGCATTCTGCTTGTCACTGTGAACAGGACTTGACTTCCTTTTAGCCTTCTATGCCAAAACAGGACCCACATATGTATCCTTGTGTGAGCTTAGATATTAGGGAAAAGAGACGAAAGTATTATTAATTGGCTTTTTTTACTGACTCCTACTTTCTTTCCACAGATTTTCAAAATCCACTGCAAGTCCCTCGACCAAAGGTTCGCAGTCATTTGACCATCAAAGTGAAGTCCAAACTGATGTCCAAACCGTGTCCCCCTGTCCGTGGTCCAAAACCTCCTGTCGCCCCCAAACCCTCCCCCCCACAGAGGCTGAGTAACGGAGACCTGGATCATTCCGATGGGGAGACCGAAGAGCTCCAGGAAATGGCTGGGGAGAATCAGGACAAAGAGGAGGAAAGTGATGCAGAGGATGGGGTTCATGACAATGGAAGCAATGATATAGAGGAAGTAGCAGGAGGAGAAATTGAGGAGAAAAAGGAAAAAGAAGTAGACATACTAGATAATGATTGTGACAGCGTTGGCTCTGAAGACACGGTAAAAGCAGATGATGGTTCTACTGTTGAAACTACTGAGGAGGAAAACACTGACAATGACTTGAACCAGCTTGAAGGTGTCAATCGCACTGATGAGAATACATCAACACCTTCTCCTCCTCTTGCTGAAACCAAGGATGAAACAGGAGAGGAAGCAGAAGAGGAGGAGAAGAGAAGTTTTAGGGAAAATAGTGAAATAGTTAATGGCTCCTCAGGGCACTCAAACAAACATGTGGAAGAAAACAATTTGGGTGAAAAGGACAATGATACAGGACTTAACGAAGCAGATGAGCAAAGTGACGATTGTTTGAACTGTGATTTACACACAGATGACACTGAACTGGAAGATGGAGGATTTGCATTTGGATTTAGTGTGCTTCCCACTGTAACTGAAGAGTATCCCTACGATGTGATTGGCCCCACTGATGATGCTAGTGACACATGTGAGTCATGTGACACGGTTGAAACAGGGGAAATAGGGGTATGGCAACCGGAAAGGGCCACCAAGGACCTCTCTGGCTGTTTTCGATTCACATCCAGCACAGAGGATGTGTTTGGGCCTTATTCGGTCATTGGATCTCTTTCCCCTGATGTGACCGACACTGCTGACCCAGAGTGGAGTCAGGATGACGCTGATGATAAACCTTCGATTGAACTGCAAACGGAAGCTGCTACTAACCAGGAACCTTACTATATGTCATCAGATGACGTGGACAAGCTGGATGATAAGCAAGCGCTCTCAGAACTGGGAGATATCGAGGAGGGCACCGAGCAATCTGATCAGCAAAAAGACAAAGAAAAAGCCAGCGAGTCAGCAGATGAGTATGCCGACATTGACGATTCACTCTGCCTTCAAGCTGAGGAAGAGCAGCAGGAGTGTGTCTCATCGGAGGATTACGTCGAGATAGGTGATGATGACGAAGAGGAGGAATTGGAAAAGAAACCTATCAAAGGAAAAAGTGCAAAAGAGAGATCAGCTAAACGAGACCAGACTTTTCTCAGCAATCGAACAAGCTGCCAGCCTCGCCTCAGGCTGTGCAACATCACAGTGCCATCAGAAGTAGGCCGCACCCCGGAGCTCACTAACAGGATGGTGTTCGCCCACACCACCGAGGCCTTTGAAGAAGATATTGAGGAACTGGACTGCCATATTGTGCCTTTCTATGAGGACACAGACTCGGACAGCGAGGAGCATATATATGAAGAGGCGGGGTTTGACTCTGAAGGGGAGAACTTTGTGACTTTTGATCGAAAGACTATAGTCACACGATCACGCTCTTATTCTGGGAAAATTACAGGTTACGTTCCAGAAACTGTACCAGAGGAGACAGGGACGGAGTATCAGACTCATGACTACTGCACAGTGGCCTTAGATAAGAACAATGAACCACTTAGCCATTCACAGCAGCCTGGGGTCAACAGTTTGATCCCGTCTACGAAATCTCGCCGCTTCTTGTTTTATTCCCGGTCTGCAGAGGGTCCAGAGTTGACCTTGACCTCCCCAACAGAGATCAACAACTCTCTAAAGAATGACATCAGGATGAAGAGGAAAGACAATACCCTCTCGCTCCCATGTGTCATAACTTCTTCTGGGAGCTTCTCCCAGCGTAGCCATCAATCATCCAGTGGAGTTTCCACACCAACCTCTCTGGTGGACATCCCGCCCCCCTTTGAGCTGGCATACATCGCTAAAAGACCAGTCACCAAGAGTTCTCCATCCCTAATGATCCAGCATGAACCCAGTGACATACCCCAGAAGAAGAAGTCCTCCTTCAAGCGCTTCCTGGCACTCAAGTTCAAGAGGAAGTCAGATTCGAAGGGTGTCAGTGATGGAAGTGTTCGCTCTTCACGCTCTTCCTCCGAGTCCAGCCACCACGGCCCAGTAAGAGTCATAGAGCTCGATCGTAGAAGCACCGGCAGCTCTCCTTCGCTTCAGAACCACATTGTGAACCGCCCAAACCCCAACCTGCCATCATCCTTATTCCTCTACAAAGACCCCCAGAGGAGGAAAGGTGACCCCAAAACTTTTGGCAGAGGCATCTCCAGAGTGGAGTCCTTCGAGGAACGTTCTCGGCGCTCCGCCATGCCGCTGCCTTTAACCAAACCACGCTCCATCTCCTTCCCCAGTGCTGACACCTCGGACTATGAGAACATCCCGGCCATGAGCTCAGACTATGAAAACATCCAGATCCCCAACAGACCCACCAGATCCCACACTGTGACTGAGTTCTTTGAAGACCCAAATCGTGCTACAGTTGCCTGCAATGAGAATGATGGATATGTGGATATGAACAGTTTTGGGATTGACATTACCCAGATATCGAAAGAAGACCCTGAAAGGTAAGGTTAAAAAAAGTTAAAAAAATGCATTTGTATAATCTCAAGCAAACCTGAAATGGTTGATTAACAAAACATACGTTACCTTTATTTGCATCCTTTACCTTCCCTATAGTGATATCTAGATACTATTCTTTTTATTTGATCAAGTTTTGAAAATACATTCTCTGAAATGTCTACTGCCATGTCACCCAGAGACCCAAATAACCTTCACAATGAAAGATGCAGAACTTTTGAAATGTCATTGTCTCAATCCATTTCACATGAAATGCCATGCATGTAAATTGTCTCTGGGATGAGCAGAGATTTCAGACGCAGATATTTCAATATATTCCAAATCTGGGTAAATACAACCATTATTGACCGCGTTATATATTACGTATTAATAACCACCGTCTATCACTACCATTAGAGCTTACACATTTAGTCCCCGACCTTTCTTTGTCTGTTGTCTTTGATGGTAAATTGAACATATTTGAGTTTTCAGCAATGATAAGAAAAAAGGTATTTGAAGACATCAGATTTGACTTTGTGAAACTGGACCTTTTAAATAATGAATACATTATTTGGTATAAAAATCAATCCTGAAAACATTACTCAGCCTGCGACTAGATGTCTATAACATGATTAGACCAAAATGTGTTCTATATATGATTTTAAAAGGTGTCGCACACAATTTTCTTAACATGCCAATAATACATTGTAGAAAATAAGTGTATCCTGTATGTCTACCGAACAGGCAACGGTGTTTATCTCTGGAACCACTCTTAAAGTAATCAGCCTAGTTGTTGGTCCTGGACCTGGCTGCTCGGAGGGGAAATCTTGACCCCTGAACAGCTGATGGATATTCTTACACTGTATCTCAAATGAGCGGAGTGCACCTGGTTGAGTAGAATCGGATCTTCCTCCTGTAGGAAAGTGTTCAGTGAGAGATGAGCAGCCTGCTGTGTCAGGCTTCGTTGGCTTTGGGAAGATGGACAATGCTTGTGGGAGTGCTTACTCCTGTTTTTCATTTGGTAGATTAAGAAGACACATCTGGTGCTGCTGCTTCCTTTACGCAAGTCTGTGGTGGAAGACCAGGTAATAGCAACCGTGCAGATTACTGAGCGGAGGTTAGTCATATTAGAAGCAGTCATTATACGCTGCAATTAAAAGTGAGAAACGTGGGGGAGTTTCTTTCACACAAGGAAGTGTAGCAGGGTGAGGACAAATGTGAGAGAGCAAAGGGAGGGGAAGTGTTGAAAGGAGGTGCAGAAGAGTAAGGGCACAAAGCGTAAAAAAGCGATAAAGCCATATCGAGGAGGGGGAGGTGGAAATAAGAACATGAGAAAAGAGAGTAAGAGAAGCTCTGGTGTAATTGCTCTCCTGTACCTGACACTTATTGTTAAGTTTAGGAGGGCTTTTATTAAAGTAACTCTCTCCAGAGTGCCTCTCTTTCATTGGACCCAGAAGGGGCCCAAGGATTTACTGCAGTGTGCGATAGAGTGAGGAATCACCGCGGTAAGACTGAACCAAATTACCCCGTGCCACAGCTTTAGCCACTACGGGCTACAGACTTTCCCCAGTCTTAATAAAATAGTTGTGTTTGATGACCTGAGTGCAGTCAAAGAGACAGGCCATTACAAAGAGCTTCTTAAAGGCTTAAGGTAATCTCGGGGCGAAATGCTTCTGTATTTGTTTTTATTTTTAGAAGAACCTTTTGTTTATATTTAATGCTGTTTTATTTTTGGAGAATCTGACTGTCATAACTATTCTGCCTCGGGTTCAGTTTGCATTTCAAGCCATTTATAAACTTTTTACACACTTAGACTTGTCTCCTCCAGACACAAGCTATACCGTCAATCCCCCTCAGTGTATTTACAGTGTACTTTAAACTGTGTCCATATAGTACCATTTAAAACCCTTCTATTTCCAAGCCAGTGCTCCCTCAGTCAGTGAGAGCTCTTTTTCCCTTAGTGACTTTATCGATGTGGCTCATTGTGTTTTGGAGGTCTCCACTCTCAATGATGCAAAGAAGCTATCTGTCCCGTCTCCTCGCCTTTTCTGCATTCCCCCCGGAGATGCTTCAGTTGCCTGGGCCGCTCTTTGGTGTGTCTATATGGGGCTTTTTTATGTTTATTTGAATGTATACATGTGTGTTTGTGTGTGCACAACATAGGGTCCTGTGTAGTCAGTAGGTGTTTGTCCCTTCCTTTATGTGTACATTTTACCCTAAACTCTGTTCAAAGCTTGACATTGCCGCTGTCTCAGGATGCCAAGCCGATGATGGCAGTGATTTATTGAATACACATTCAACAGTCAATGTGGTTTAAAACCAACAGAGGAAGAAGTGGATTTTTGTGGTGAGGAAAATGACCAAATGGCCCCAGAGCGCTACACACCAAAGGACCGGGCCTACAGTAGCAGACACTCATTTCAAGAAAACTCACAAAGCTGCAGTTCCACAGGCTTGGCTTGTTTCCACTCGTGTGATTAATGTGTAGCACCATACAGACGCTAGCTCAGTACAAGCAGTCAGGGTAAGCAAAGAGACATGTTCATTAGCAGGCTAACACAGTGCACAAAAAGAAAAGACACATTACTGATTCGCTCCAATCCTAACCAAGGCATTTGTTTGTGGGTTTGTGTGTGTTTGCATTCTGTGCATGCAGTTACTAGTGCTGCTTTATCAAAGATAGGGCTCCTGCTAAAAATGCAGTGTCGGCAGAATTGTTGCCTTGTAGCACATTGTGCCCAAATAAGAGCTCATTAAGTGTTATATATGTAAACTCTAAAAGGATCATTTAGATCTTCTGAAGTGGGGTTGTATGGTACTATCTATTTTGAGTGTATACTACAGAACTGCAAATGATATTGGCACCAGAAGCAGACAGGAAGCTAAGCAATGTAATGGATGAGGACGTTAGCAAAAATGTATTATAGCCACCTAAAACAAAGGCCCACCTAAAAAAATCTAAGATTTAGTTTACCATATTTTGATCGCTTTACCTTGTCTTTACCTTGTCATCTGACAGTATTTTACCCGCAGGAAGCCGTTATCTCTCCCTCTTATCTACTCTTGCCTTAGCCATCAGACTTCATTATAAAAAACTAGTTGCTAATATAGCCATTCCCCTTTTCTGTGAAGTGACATCTCTTGGGGGTTTTCAAGTGAGTCTGGTTCATTTGGCTAGAGAATAGGTGGATGTAATGCCTTCAGTTCCTCATTGTAATGGCCTGTCTCTTGGTAAGGTTAAGCAACCAGTAACTTTTTGTAAATAAAGAGACTTAAACTTATATTGATTCTCTTTTTATTAGGTTTTTCTTTCAGGTGGGTTTAATATTTTTTGCTGACGTCCCAGTTAATAGTAGTACATGTTGTACTGCTGTGCTGGTACTGTGCAAACCATAAACAGAGCTTTGGTCTGTTCAGGAAAGTACTGTCAATGTGTGCTAAAATGTACCAAATCTCACTCTTTGGTGCGGTTTTCACTTCACACAGTTCAACATAAACCGCTCAAATGTGATGACAAAGCCTCGCCATGGCCTCTCAAACAGCTGCTCCACCCACTGTTATGTTAGTGTTAGTAGTGATGAGGGAGCCATCTTAAGTGCATTGTTGTACTGGGTGGTGGCTGAGTGCTGTGTGGCGAGGTGGTGGGTGGGGCGTGTCGTTGGCTCGCCAGGCCTGGTGCCATGCGCTCTGAGGTCATTGCCAGGTCATCCCCGGGGAGGAAGCGTCCAGCCTAGGAGCTTCCCACCAGCCTGTTTACAGGAAATGCAGGAGGAGGGCGGGGCTCTGGCGGGAGGCTGGGAGGTGGAGACGGGAGAGAACAGATAGGATGGAGGGAGGAGAAAGGGGTCACCAGACTCCCTTCCCTGACTCTCCCTTGAACAACAAGGTGAGGTGTGGTACTGTCAGGAATGCCAGGTCTGCTGTTATTGTTGCTCAAAGTTTGTCGGGAATTTCTCCAGCCTTCCACTTCATACAGCGCCTAAAATACTCTTTGTTCAGTGGCATAAAGTGTTAATCAACTGAAAATAAGTGAGGAACACTGCTGCACATGTGGTCCTCTCATCCAGCCTGGCACATGATGCAGGGTGAGGATCTGCCAGTGTCTTCACACATCACTTCATCACACACTGTCACAACAGCAGCGGCACAACAGCCACAGGCTACATGTAATCATCAACACTAAAAGCAGCAAACGATTTAAATATGCTCCAAATCTCATGATCGCCCCATCAGTATCCCAATCATCTATCGTCAGCAGTCTAATGAACCTATTCAGCTGCTGCTATTCCCTATAATGGAGCCATTACAAGTTGAAAAAGGCCTGTCTGATTGCGCTTCATATATATTTCAATACTGGAGGTTTAGCCCAATTGAATTACATATTACAGGCATCATCGAATTCGCAGGTGGAATAAAGGTATTTTTCACAGAGAGTCATTGTGTCCTCCTCTTAATCTGACACAGTAGATTTAACTTTGCCATTGCACTCTGTTAGAATAATAGCATTACTTTAATGGTCTTGTCATAGGGCTTAATGCCTACATTAGAATATCACATATTAGCAAGTTCAAATATGGAAACGAAGTATGAAGCTACTGAAGCTAAACACAAGCTATTTTTAGGATGTTATATGCTGATGAATGAGCCATGTTGTTAAATAATAATGTATTACATTCTCATTGACACCAGGACGGCAATAATTCTACATATCCCTGTCGCAATTGAAAACCCATCTGTTAGCCAATTTGAACCTAATGCACCAGCACTTCAATGTTTAGGCCTTTTTGATACGATACGTTATGACAAGGCACGACATAACACGATATGATACTACTTTATTGTCAGATCAAGTCTGAAATGTACAAGACAAGATAGCCTACAAGGAAACAAACATTTAACATAACACACCAATCACTGAGGAGAAACATGCTCAAGACCCTGTGACGTACATTTGACCTGGGATTTAACCATGTATTTAATTTGAGGATTGACTGGTGCACAAAAGAGTGCTTCAGTCCAACCCTATTGAATAGCGGGATCTCTGATTTGTTGACAACATTTATATGAAAACAACAATTCATAATCGCTGTTCAGGACATGGTTGGGGTCAGAGACAATGTTGTTGGCAAGCTTCAACATTATAGTACGTTGATTCATAGAATTTCTCATAAGATTGACCAGAATAATACGAATAAATATGATTACGCTATAGAAGATATTGATGTTCAGACTTGGAGTAACGTTTTTTAGTTTTCTGTTGGTCTTTTCTGGAAGACATGTTGATAGTCAGGGGTGAAAAAGTGAAGGTTATAACCTGCGGTGCATTTCTCTTGAGCGTATAAAGTGATTCCCCGTACTCAAGAAGTACTGTAGTTTAAAGAGGACCGGTTCCTCCAGTCCTCTTTCCCCTCAAACATCTCCCAGGAGCCAACAGCAGGTTCATCTGTCAACTCTGAGGTCAACCATGAGTAATGGTCTGTAGGTGCTCTCTTCAGCCCACCCAATAGGACCAATGGTGTGTGTGTGTGTGTGTGTGTGTGTGTGTGTGTGTGTGTGTGTGTGTGTGTGTGTGTGTGTGTGTGTGTGTGTGTGTGTGTGTGTGTGTGTGTGTGTGTGTGTGTGTGTGTGTGTGTGTGTGTGTGTGTGTGTGTGTGTGTGTGTGTGTGTGTGTGTGTGTGTGTGTGTGTGTGTGTGTGTGTAGTGTGAACCTCATGAAGTGTGAGTGTGACTGAATGGAGATGAAGTCCACTGGGTAACTCTGTTAACCTTTGGCCTTTTAATAGCCGTCTGTTCTCAGCACACACACTCAGCGGCTGTTTAAGACATCAAACTTCCATCATTACCTGTACAAGTCAGAATAAAAGGGAAAATCACAATTTCTTTACATTACATTACATTGCATTTAGCTGACGCTTTTAT